CTGCTATTGTAGCCCCTTAATCACTACTGACACTTAATGACACTGTCACTTTATCAGTGCTGGTCATCATGCCCTTTGCTGCTAAAGTATTTACACCTATATTTATACCTACACTCTAAACCCATACTCCATACTGGTACTCAGGTTGTTGCACTCTACTTATAGTATTATTTATTGTATTGTTTTATTACTTGTCATTCCTGTTTGTTAAAAAACAAACAAACAAACAAAAAAAACCCAACTATTTATTGATTACTTAAAAAAAAAATTCTGTTTCTTCATTATTTAGTTTCTTTTCACTCCGGGACCGTGTGTACATAATTACGTTCTACCTCATGTTAACACGTGATGCGAATGACAATAAAGCTCCTTGAATCCTTGAAATAAATAGAATAAATAAATAAAAAATGAGAAAAGTAGGGTCACATTCTATCTGGTAGTAAAGACATTTTAATAATATTTTACCATCTCTTTTACTCTTTTTCCTTGATGCTGTAACAAGCAGAGGAAAGACATGTACATAGTGTGTCTTCACTAAAGATAAACAAGGTTTTCTCTTCCCATTTGCTCGTGTTAAATATTCATGTTATTAAGTGAAGGTGTGCAAGATGAAGGAAACGATTGCGGGGATTCATTGGCCAAACAATAAATAAATAAATAAAATAATCTAAATGTTTTTGCTGTTCTGAAAAGACATCTGCTCTCCCTCATTCAGTGTTATATTTGAAAGTGAAGAGCATAATCTGCCAGAGAATCCATTTATCACAATTTTTTAGGATGGAATAATCCATGTGTTCAGTGAGGCGTCTTGGCGGAGACCAAAAACTCCTCTCCAGTGGCTCTTTACGGGACTAATGACCCACCGAGTGAGCACTTAGCGAGATCTCCTGTATTCAGTATTTATAATATTAAGATGTCAGGCATCTGAGGGGAGGAAGGACAGGATCAGGAGTGTGTGGTGAACAGCATTAGATGAAGAGGCTTCTTTTCTGCCTGTATATTAGTGGCTAATCTGCCCTAACAAGATAGACTGGGGTGTACAGCATTCTCCACTGCATCACTGATGATGGGACCAGTAATGATGGAGGAGGGAAGCAGGAGGCTGGCAGCTAAGCCCGAAGTAAGCTACTTTGGCACGGGGTGACGCACGACTGGTCCCACAGCCACCAAAGAGTGTGCATGTGTGTCCAGTTATTAAATCAAATATGTGACACCAAGTAGCTTAAAGCACCAATAAGCCACAAGGCCACTTTGGCTTTAATTTGTTCAAGGATGAAATCTCATGTGAGTTACATGGCATGACTTTTAGGGAAGTGTTGCTTCAATTTAAAGATTGTATGACAAAACCACAGAAGTAATAATGTGTTAAGTAAAAAAAACAACCGCAAAACAAACAACAATAACTAGAACACATCAGATGTTTTAGTACATGTTAGTCATTCTCAAGGTGTGGGCTATTGATCCACTCGATGACCAGAGGAAAATTATGGAGCCAAAACCAGCCAAAAATGTGTTGCTTTACTGTCAATGCTTGATGAAAACTGTAAAATATTACATGGAACATCTTACTGTTTTAAAACCTATAAGTTAAAGTGTTTTAATATTTGAGATCTTGCATGTCTTTATCAAGCTTTCAATAGTATTCTAGCTTAGTATGAACATTGCCCAAATCATCAAAAATGTGATTCCACATTAATCTCCACTCAAGGCCCACTTAATTACTTATTAGGAAGCTTTCCATGACTTTGATCACTTTGGTTTAACGCAAAAACTTCAAATGCCGATGAATACAATGTGTTATGACCACGAGGAAGGTCTTTGATATTACTAAGATTGTAAGAATAAAGTCACAGTTTGTACTCTTGGATTTTGGGTGAACAAACCCTCTGACTCTATCCTAAATCAGCTTCTTGTGATGTTGCCATGTGTTCCCAACCTTTGGATTTATCCTGATTCTTTTGAATGAAGTTGAGGTTTCACGAATGTCGATGGAAAGCTACACAGGCCTGCAGTACTGACACTTTCCCAGAACTTCAAACAGGCCCATATACAGTAGCCTCCATGCATGTAGAGGATCAATACGTTGGTGGAAAATGAATCCTCTTCCACACATATTATGGAGCCAGGAGAGGTTAGCAATGTGTCTGCAAATACAGTGGTATTTCTCTCTGTGGAAGAGAGAAGTGCAACTCACTTGAAAGAACCCCACAGCTGAATATTTTCACCAAGTTTAAAGGTTTTCCGCACCGCTGCATTTACATCAAGAAAATAGGCAGAAAAAGCAAAGCAATAGTAATGTATGTATATAGATACCTGGTCAATAAAGCTGATTCAGATTTTAATAAGGTCTTTGATACTCTCAATATATCAACAGTTCTAACATTACAGTGATATGGATATAAATTTATCCCCAAACACAGCCTGAGATCAGGTGATGCTTATACATTTACAGGGCTCTGAAAAAGTATTTCCCCCTTCAGAATTTCTTACTTTTTTCCTTTGTTTTTCACACTTATT